ACGCTCTTAAAACGCGCGACGCGTTGACGTGCCAAAGGGAGACGTGCTGAAGCGGTTGGACGTGCGAGGTCTTGACAACGCGCGTCTCTTCGTGAAGCGATAAGAGTGCGAAGCGAGTTATCCGAGTTGGAAAACGCGGTGATGGCAAATAACGCGTTTTCTTCTTTTCTTTTCGTTCCGATTTAGCCGTTTGGTGGGGATATCATTTGTTAAAATTTACACTCCAATTTCTCTCGTAAACTGATATCGTTTCGGTAGGAAAACAGTGTTTCCTTCAATTATGAGATATTTTGCCATTGGTTTATTTATTTATTATTTTCACAGTTCGAGAATTTGTGTTAAATTTAATACATTTCGCACATTCTAAACGATCCACTCAAATTTTTGTGTTAATTTAATATAAGATGAATATGTTAGAAAGTAACATAAATATTATGTAAAAAAATTTGCACAAAAAACGTAACTGACACAATTTGTAAGCGATAGCTTTTTATTAAAATTAATATTTATAATGTATTAAATTAATACATGTTTCAATAAATTTAATATTTATAATACGTTAAATTAAAAAACTCATTTTATTAATTTATTTACGTTTTAGGAAACATTATTTTTATGTTATTTGTTCATTTACTCATAAATTGTATTATTTTAACACTAAAAAAGTTGAATATCACTTCAATAAAAAATATTTAAATAACATAATCACATTCTGCCAAATTAACATTCGGATATATTAAAAATTCAACACAAAATTATAACAAAGATTTAAGTGGATCATTTCTAAAACAAATACAAAATATTTCTTACTAGGTGGTAGGTTCGAATATGATAGGTTATTGTTATTTATTATTGTTAGAATAATTTACTACATAGATTCGCGCTTCTTTTCAATCGCACGATACATATACACGGAACTATAATCCGAATGTAAAGCGTGGCATAGATGGTGCTTTTCAGAAATGAATATTGAAAGCTTGAGGATCTTGACGAGAATCTCTGTTAAAACATTAAATTGTTATAAAGTATTTTCTGGAAACCAGACGCGAGTAAAGTATTTTCAGGAAACGAGATGCGCGTAAACCACCGACGCGAGATATCAAATGTACATAATTCAGTCTTCGAGAAGCACCACTTGTCAAGATTTATGCTCGGACTCTTCAATCGCGGATTAAAAATAGCGATCGTTCTGGCAGAAAAGCAGTGAGTTTTCTTCCGCTATTCGACTAGCAAAGCAGTATCTTGCCGCTGGCAACATTTTATCCACGTAATCTAAAAACATATAGGTATGAATTTTCACACTTGCGTAAAAGCATAATTTTATTCTGATGTTATTACACCTTGTGTTAGTTAATTTTTTATACATATAATATCTTTTATATAATATATTTTTATATATCATTTTCAACAACTCATTATTTTATGTGTATTACAATAGAATAGAAAATAAAAGATTGCCACCTCTCTGTACTTCAATAGAGTGACAATCAATTTTCGGCAAGATAGTGAGATCTTCAGCAAGAAAGGTGGCAACCATTTACAACCTTTAAAAATCATTCTTTTTTTACTTATGACTTTGACTGTAATTTTCTTTTATGAAGTTAATTCATTTTTTGTAGATAAGGTAAAATTTACTTAACTGATTTATTTTATTAACTAAAAAAATTACGTTTTTGAATTGTGTTATTTTTTAAATAAGGGAGCAATATAAGGTATAAACTGTGTATAGTTTATATTGAGAGTACGATATAATCTATAATTTATATAAAGATGCTCAAAATATGTATTTTTGTTATATAATCTAATATATCATTACATATACATATAATATGTGTTAAAATTTAATAATATATAAAAGCGTTATAATTTATAATTTATGATTCATTGATATAACAAAATTAACAACTATATAGAAAATTGGAAAAATGTTCTAAATTAAAATGTTTTCAAATCATATAGTTTTAAGTCAATATATAACTACTTAGTAAAGCCAACATGTGAATTACATCTTCTTAGGTAATCTAATTAAATAGACTCAATACGAGATTATGCTGCGATAATGATTCTGAATTATCATTTAATTTGTTCCTTTTCAGCAGAGCTGGCGACCGTCACGAGAAGCGCGTCGTCGGACGACGGCGTGCCGGTGTCGGGGGTAGTCGCGAGACAGGCGGAACCGGGTATAGGGGTACCATTGGCAACCACCGTCGACGGCGGAGTCGGACAGCAGCATCGCACCAGCGGTGGTACTAGCTCGGCAGTCGGTGAGTGGAATTCATTGCCGGTACTGGTAGAACGTCTACGCGAGGCACTCGAGTTGTCCCTGGCAGCGGATTGCCGGCGAGGCATCGACGGGGTCGACGACCGATCCTGCGCGCGCCGTTCTATGGAACAGGTGCTTTTTGGCAGCGACGACGACGTATCCGTCTCAAAGAAGGACGAGCTCAAGTTTCTGGAAGATTTGCTGCTGTCGGATATCCAGACCGCGCTCTCCCGTTTGCGCGAGACGCTCGAACGCACGGACGTCGCGACGCTCACGAAGCACGGCGGGGTATCGGATCCCACTAGTAAGCTACATCTCTTGCGACTGGTATCGAGTTTACTGTCGCGGCTACAGGTGCCGGTGGAAGAGAAGGAATCGAGTAGCAGCGTGGGCGACAGGACGATCGACATCGTGGCACAGAACGGCGGTGCGTTGCCCGGACGAAGACGGCGGCCTGTTAGACACACCATCGGCGTTTCCACCGAAGAGATCGCACGCGCGAGGAGACAGCTGGAGGAGAGCAGCGCGGACCTAGCGAGATTGAATGACCAGGTATTCCAAATCGAACGACCTAAACCATTGCTGTCTACGTCGCGTAACGTGACGAGCGGCGAAAGACCACACGTGGAGGAGATCCACGACAAATACACGAAGGACGTGATTAATCAACGTCAGTCGTTGCGTGACAGAAATAAAGATACGAGTGAATATCGGCCATTGATTCCGCCACCGGTTGGTTACGTGGATCGGCCAGCAGTCGCACTTAGAACGACAGATGAGTCGAATACGCGGCAGATTCAACATCGGGACAGCGTCAACGGTTACCAGGAGAAAGTGAGCGACGACGAGGAAACCGCGATTAAGAGAGCGAGCGAGGAGCGGAGTCAGGTGACGAAACTTGCAGCGGCACTTCGGCAACGCGCAGAACTGATCAGCGCCAGTAAATGCAATAACGGCAGCAACAAGTTTGCAGCGAAAAAGTCGAAAATCAAGCGCGCCAATACCATCGACATACCGAGCTACCTGAAGTTACAGGCCGACAGTCTTGGTTACGACAATTCTGGTTGCGTAGTGCTGCGACGTCCCATCAACGTGGGCGATAAGATTACTACGAACGCGTCAAATCTTGGCGTGCCATCGTTCCACCCGAGAACGGAGAATGATAAGAAGTTTCTGGCGTTGATCAACCGGAACAACGAGACGCAGACAACGTACAACGCTGCACCTGCCTTTGTTAAATCCTTCGGCTATACCAAGGCGACAGACATGTCGGCGAAAGAGAACTGGAACAGCCGATTTTCGAATATCAAGACTGCTTTCGATAAGCCTTCGTCTACGAACGATATCGACAAGTTGTCACCAAGACTGCAAAATACCATAAAACGCTTCCCAAATACTCCTCAAACGTCTCCTCAGATTCCGGTGAACAAGAAGATGCCGACTAGTGGCAGCACGACAAACAACAGCTTACCGTTTGCAAACGTGAACGTGCCGCAACTGGACGCGGGCTTCAGACACGCGCCTTCATCGCTGTTTCGGAAAATCGAGAAGCCGTGTACACCAAAGTCTCCGCTTGGTCATCACTGGCAAAGGGACAACGCACTACCGCCCGGAAACTCCTTGCGCGAGAAAGCCAAGATATTCGATCGAAACGGTAATCAATCTCATCCGCCGTCGTTAAACGTGAACGAGAATACCCAGAAATCCGCTTTTCCTCGACCACCATGGATCGAGCACGACAAAAATGAGAACAAATCGAATAAGATGGTCACCGAGAACGGACGGCTCGATTATCGATTATTCTGCAAGCAGTTTGCACCTTTTATCGGCAAGAACACCGCCCCGGAAGCTAAAGGCATCGAGGATTCTCGCAGACGCAACGAACACTCGAACGCACATCGCAAGAATTTGGCGCCATTGAACGAGAAGCTCGGCGTGGTGGATGGGAAAATTTCCTTCAGAATGTTCCCCGAGAAAGGACCGCAGGTCCAATGTCGCCCAAACGAATCACATCGCACGATTGAGGAATCGGTTCGAGACAAATTTGATTTTCATAACGAAAAAAATGTCTTTGAACCACTAGCCACAGTGCGCAATGATAAGGACTCAGTCGGAACCACATTCGCGGGCAACGCACCGATTGATGCGATGTTCAGAGGTAGCTCGTCTGTGGCCATACAGACTGGTATCGATGATGATGATCATCTTGAGGAGGCACGAGTGTTTCGAGTGACTCCTAAGGTCGCGAAAGGACCACCGTCTGCGTACAGTAATGCGTCTGTTCAAACTCACAACGAACCGGAAGTGGAAATCAAAGAACACTGGACGACTCCTCAATATAACGACGTTGTTCCAACATCAGACTTGAGTTATCATCCTACTGAGGATTCGAGTCACTTTGTTTTGGATCATAATCGAAATTATACCGCAACAACTGACACCTCTTCGAGAAACGAAACTCTGCCCTTAACAAACAAGAATAGCGATTTTATCAAGAAAGACATCATTTGCGTGCCATATTCGATGGAGAAGGTTCCTTTTTCAACGATTTCCGATCATCAATCGTCAGAACAGAACGAACTAGTCTTTCGAGCGAGTCCGCGATGTGAAAATTATTTCTCGCCTAAACCGACGATTAGAGATAATCAATCGCCAATGTATTCGACTTATATCCCATACGTTAAGTCTAATAAAGATCCGTTCGAGGATCAGACGCCAAGTGTGTCGCATGAGATCAACAAGGAAGATTTCCTGTGTACGAGTGACGGCGCTTTGCCAGAGGAACAGAATATTCAAAATCAGGATATCAGTGCGGACACTGGCGTCGTTACACGGTATACCTGTGCGATCGCGACTGTTGAATCTGAGGATATTCCAGCGACACGCGTCGACGGAACTAGACCGGAATCTGGAATGTCACCATCTGGAATATCCTCCTCCTCATCACCCTCACAGCTCTGGCCGTATCCCAAATCAACCAATAGCGAGACCGCTACGGCCGAAGACGAAATACGTCGACACAACTTGCTACAACAGAGCTTGGTCCGACAATTGCAAAACGAGCGAGTGATACTGAACGATTATCATGCACCTGTCATCAATCAGTCTAGAAATTTTAATCAGCCTAGTTTTCATCAATCTAACAGTTTTAACCAATCTCTGAGATTCCAACCGGTTGAAGTACCGAAAAGCCCGGAACCACCAAAAAGACCGGAACTGCCGAAAAAACCGGAACCACCGAAAAGATCAGAACTATCGAGGAAGTTGGAACCTTCGAGAAAGTTGGAACCTTTGAGAAAGTTGGAACCGTCGAGGAAGTTGGAACCGTCGAGAAAATTGGAACCACCAAGGAAATTGGAGACATCAAGAAGGTTGGAGCCTCCAGCGATTGTCACTGGTTTGCTATCAGTAGCACCATCCCCTGGATTCAGCGCGAAGAATCGGATTACCGCTCTCAGAGAACAATATGAGCAACCGGGCAGTCAATCGAAATCCATGCAAAAGGAACGTTCGCCAATCCCGAACGGCACGAGCGGCGCGATGGATTCCAGCGACGAGTATCTTGTGTCTTGCACCAACAGACCGTCCAGATCCATCGTCCTGTCGAAGTCTGAATCATGGCATCAGCTGGCACTCTCGAAGAGCCATCACGCTTCATCGCGTCCAGTACAGAGCAACTTACCGCCGCAATCTCTCGCTGGCACCGGGTCTTATCGTCCCAAACCACCCAAGCCAAAGTCACCATCGTCCTTTAAGATGAAAAAACAATACGAGGCATCCTCGTCCTTGGACAGCGTAAAAAAGATGGAGGATAAAATACGCAGGTATTTCGATAATCCAGCAAACGATGGTGCCACGGAGACGAAGGATTCCAAGGGTAGACGTTTTTCGTCGCGCGACTCGGTAAAAAAAGGTCTTGTTGGTCTATCCAGAAGTCGCACTATGCCAGGAATATACGAAGAAAACTTACGTCTGACCATCCCGGCAGTGCCACAGATTTCTGTGGCGAGCCTCAATACTGCTGACGTGGACAAAGTGTTTGATGACATCTTCGAAGAGGCCACCAGGACTGATGACCACTTCTGATCGATTGATCCTCATCGTCGTAAGATGTCGGCGTAATGTTCACTTGGGAGACTTGGTGACGGTAAAAGTGATGTCCGTTCGGGATTTTTGCGAGTAATTTTTCGAGAACCGACAATATTTCGTGCTGTGTTGAACACCGTGATAAGAATAACGATTCTACGATCATCATTAATCTCATTACAAATATGCAACATAATTGATTAATAACATGGATCGTTAAATTGTGATCTTGTCTACTTTAATTCGCATAGCCTGCCGTCAGCAGTTGTAATTCAGGACGCATCATTACGTACAGAGTCGGTTAATTCTAATCAGATTGTTTACATTAGAAGTTTGCATACAATTATTGTTGGTCACTTATTTTCGCAAGACTGTTTCTGTAAACATTAACTAAGATTTTGAGATTAACTGAGATTTAACTGTTATTTTACTTCCTTTCAAGTTGGCTTCAATTAGTGTTTTGAGAATAGCTTACAGTACTGTTAGAAAAAATCCAGTATTATTTATCTAACTGCATTTTGTATGAAATGCTACGTGTTTTAATCTACAAATTAATCATCTTTCATGGATAATCAAAAAGAAACTGAAAGCAGTTACGTTAATGAGTTTGAGATCTAATCTAATTTGCTGCACGTAATTCTCGCGATCGCTTAGATTGCTTTAGGTTTGAAATTTGTATCGAAAAGTACTAGAGAGAGAGCTCTCTTCGCACTATTAGAATAGATCTAACAGATCTGATTAGAAGCCGCACCTTTAAGAGACAAAAGCATTTTCACGACGCCATTCTCAACACGAAGCTACATAGTCCTTTGCAAAAGCAGCACGTTTCTTGCAACCACGGCGGAATTGGCCGATACATGGTCTTCGTCCATTACGAGAGACGGTAGTGCAGATAGATTCAAGGACCATTGTCACCGCCGGTATCCAACATCCCATCTCACTCTACGTTCTTCTCGCTCAAGATCATCACGTGAGCGCGAAAAGTCGAGCAACATGAAGCCACTTATGCGAAATCTGCTGTAACCAGCAAGAAATAAAGAACATCATGCAACGCATCAGTTACATCGCCGTTATTCTGCTCGATGCACGTAATCTAACTACGAGCTACAAAATCTACATATAAAACAGTCATACGCTTCACACGTGCGATGCTCATGACCCGCGCGTGCTCTTCCCCTTTCTCTCAACATTTTCTCTCAATATTTTTTCTTCTCTTTTTTTTTTATTTAAACCCAAGTCGCGAGCGCACATTCTCGCGGACGGAGTCGCTAAGAGGACCATGCCAATCCCCGAATAAAGCAGTGAGTCACAGCCCTTATTTTTGTTGATCCTTTTGTTACGCAGTGGCGTATACAGTTTGCACTGCTGCGAGTGTGTCTAAGAGTGCAATGTAATCGTAATGTACGCGCGCTGGTACAATTGCAGAGCATAGCGATGCTGTGGTGGCCTGAGTAACTCGATCAGCTCAGATCTCTCGAAAACATCCCCCGAAAATACGGGCGCTGATAAAAATCAAAGGCAATATTTTTCCGCCACTTAAGACGTAACTCCACGACGTGCAATATAGCAATTATAGCTGGATATTTCGCACTATTCGCGGAATGTATTACAAGTAGCCAAGTAGCCAATGTTACCGAAAATTTAATAGGATTTTTTATATTCGTGATATATATTGTAGTGTGCAATAATGAAAAATTAAAATAATTACAATTATATATTAAATATAATTATATATTAATTGAAAAATTAACATTTATCATCTTCTTTCTTTATACAAAGAATGTGAAAATTAAGCAGCTTTTTGGACGGATGTTTTTACACGGAGGACTTATGATATTGAGCTGACATGGGGACAATCTTATTATGAGCGTTGTAAACAAAATCAACAATTTTGACGCGTAGTTTTGCTTTGATATTTGAAACAGTCATTCAGCAAATTTGTGTGAAAAACATAATTGTTTCTCAGAAACAAACTAAAATAATAAACAGTAAAGGTCTTTATCAATGATAAAAAATTTACATTGACTTGTACATCCAACAAATCTAAACATAAAAAATTTCTGAGATTGATATAAACATTTTTAATGCTTCCTTTTTTATTTCTTTTTGTGTGGGTTCAATAGATCCACACAATTATAACCACATCAGCTCTAGAGAACTAAACGCGTCGCCTGATTGGCAAATATACCCTTACTTGCTGCCACACCTCGTGACGTCCTCGTGGAAGTACAAGCGCGTGCGTAATGTGTACACGCGCACGGACATACTTTTTCAATGCTCGTGCATGGAGGTGGTGTCGATCGATGTCGGTCGATCGACGAATTTAGCCTGTCCACTTTACAATCAAACTCGATCCAAAACGTTCCTTTTTCTGCAGGTTTGTCACTTCCTCGTTACTACCGAAAATTACTAGATACTTGAACAATTAATATCTGTACAGACACATGTATGTTCTTCGTGATCGCCATATCCTATTCTTTTTCATACTAAACTTTATTGAATTTGTTATTGAATTTGTTTGTAAGACAACTAATGCATGTCACGGGCACGCGACGAGAGTGATAGATGAACGATTCTGCTAGATCCAGACTTTCTAATAAATCGCACCTCTGACGCCTTTGTGACAAGATTCAGTTATAGACAATTAAAATAGATATAGAGAGACATTAACATTTCAGTCAGATCTAGTATGCATCTCAATATAAGTCTAACATGTTATGCTTTTTCAAAACATTTGTAGCTTTACAACGCCCTGTTCGTTTTTCAGCTCCGAAAAAGCCGCTGTCACCGTTCGCCAAGTTTCGTCAACTCGATAAACAAAATAGCGCCAGTTTGTCACCAAGGTGAGAATAGAAATTAAAACTGCATGATATGTAATTAAGGATTACTTTTTGACTGCTTTATAGAGAAATAGAGAAAGAAGAATCTAATTAATAGAGTAAAAAAAGACATCGCAAGAAAAGTGACACAAGTCAAAATTCTTTTGAATTTCGTATTATGTGCGCATTGTGTTCTAAATACATCAGGAAAAGTGATATAAGTTGAATTCAAATAGAAAGGAATTAAAAATAGGAAAAATCAAAATAGGAATAATTTTTAGGAGGGGTCTAACATAACACCATAACACAATTAACTCTTCTGTCGATGTATGGATAGTGGAAAAGTAAAAAATTATTCCTTGACAGAAGGGTTAATCATTACTTCTAAATTTGAAACTTGAAACAAGCAATTTGTGTTTAACTCCAGTTAACTCATTTTTAATACATTTAAATAATTAATTTTACAACACATAACTTGAACAACTTTATATTTTTAATTTGTGTAACTTTTCTGGTAGGGGGGGGGGGTGGAATATACTAATTTAGTGATTAATTCATATTCTTGCTGAGTGGTTCATTTTTTTGTCTCTGAATTGTTTATTTAGCCCTGTAAAATCACCGGCAACGGAATTTCGATTCAAATTTACCGAACCAACTGTACGAGATAACGCTGCACAAATTAAAGAGCGATTGCTGGCATGGTGCCGATCAAAAACCAAAGAATACGAAGTAAGTGCATCGTGTGCTGTGTAAAATAATATTGATCCGTTATTCGTGGATTCTTACGACATCTTTGATATCTATCAAGGGAAAGCGCGCTGCAGTTAATGAGCAATTGAATGAATTACGTAATATAAAAACTTCATTCTGTGTTTCAGAATGTACAGCTTGACAACTTCTCGACAAGCTGGAACAATGGTTTAGCATTCTGCGCGTTGATCCATCATTTTAGGCCGGATGCTTTCGACTACAATTCTCTACGTCCGGAGAATCGCAGGAAAAACTTCGAACTCGCTTTTACGAAGGCTGAGTAAGAGCTCCAAATTTTTCATTTCACATCGAGATGTTATAATTGTTCTTGTTTTCAGGAGTTTGTTAATTGATCATTTTTTTTTTTTTTCGAATATAGCCTTCTTTGCTTAATTGTGTTGAACATTTTTTTATTATTCACAAACCCAAGAAGTCTTCTTTCTTGCAGCGAAGTCGCTGGAATCGCGCCGTTACTTGACGTCGAGGACATGGTGATGATGCAACGGCCAGACTGGAAGTGCGTCTTCACGTACGTTCAATCCATCTATCGTCGCTTCAAGGATGAAGACTAGCAGCTATAGTTTATAAATCGCAACAGCAGCAACATATAATTCCACTTCATGCCAAGACATAGCAATGATCGCTACTCGTAGAACAGTCTTTTTTTACTTCACTTGTGGTTGGAAGAACAGTAGTCATTTCTCTTTTTATACATATACAATCAAATTGATGTTCCTGTAGCCACATATGAATCAAATTTGATAGTAAGCGTAGAATTTCAGACAATGTCTTATAACAATGATGATGATGGTGATGACAATACAACGGCAATAATGATGATGAGTCATTGAAATCAGTCTCACAACCGTGTGAGAAGCTATAATGCATTCGTACATAATATGTCTTATATTTTCATATCTCGTATATTTTCCTGGCACGCAGCCTTACTAACGTGTAACTTTCTACCGATGCTGATACAGCTAATAATTTCTATGAAAATATGTGGATAGCATTCACGTGTAAGCGAAACGCAGAATCGCTGCCAAGTGACATTAGCGTCGATGTTGTAAAACTAATTAAAATATCTTGAGAGTACCAAAGAGATTTCTCTAATAAATATGTGATATGAGAAATTTTCAGTTATTCTCCTTCATTATTCCCCTTATACCTTATTGAATTTTAAGTTTGAATTTTTGCGATTCAAAAATTCTCAAAATTGCAACATTTTAACATTTTTTTTTAGTATGCTATCTCTTATCTATTATAATTATATGCTGTCAATTTTTGGAATTAAATAGCAGGAAAGATTGGGGATTTTATATAAAATATCAACATTAGATAAAGTTACATGCCACTTTATCGAGCTGAGATATTTTCATTATTGCTTAATTCTCAGATAACATGGTACGTTACATGGTGGAATTAGACAGGTGACCCATTCCGGGAGTTGCGCAATGGCAGCCAATCAAATTTTGAGCTCATTTGCAGGAATTCAATATGGCCGACACTCTGTTGCAGTCAGCTGTATCAAGAGGAAATTATGCATATATCCCTCTAAAGATTTACAAGCAGCAGCTATTATTATGAATGAAGAATTCATTAAATTTCATGGCGACACTTTTAATTCAAATTGCTTCATTTTTGACAATTTAAGTACAATTGTCTGCAAAAAAGTTTCTTTTCCCAAGACGGTAATTGCTTGTTTTATACGAACGCGAACATATATATGCCTGCGTTGCATCAATAATTCAATAAAAGAAAAAAAATTGTGCAAAAAAAATATAAAAAAATGAAACATATGTGTAATAAAGAACTTATATAAGCTTCGTTATGTAGACTACTTTCCAAAATGTTTCATTCGAGGAAAACTTTACTCGATATAATATGTTACGTGTACTATATATTTCGAATAAAATTTTGTTAGAAGGGAACGTTTTGGAAAGTAGTCTACATAACTAATATTACAGAAAGAGAGAGATAAAGCTTATTTGTTATTTTATGGTTCTTTTATTGTACTGCCCAAGTGAAGAGCAGACTAAGGGCGCGTTCACATCTTGACGGAAAAGCAGAAAGCGGAAAAGCAGCAGCCAATCAGAACTCGCGCTGGTATTCGACAATTTCGGTTTTTTGTATTACTTACTATCAGCGCGAGTTGTAATTGGCTACTGCTTTTCCGCTTTCTGCTTTTCCGTCAAGGTGTGAA